GATAGCCGGGCACCATCAGCTTTCTTCGCCACATTTGCTTATGCACCCATTTGTCTTCAGTGATCCATTTGACACCTCGTGATCACACAGGCTGATATGTTGTTCCATGTGGGCTTTGTTGCTTCTGAGCTAGATGGCCGCTTGTTTGCCTTCAAGCTTTTAAGGCCCCAGACGCTGTATCTTTTGATAGTGCTACAACTTTTCAAAAAGGCTTTGCTGAAGTTTTTAGTAGCATAAAGGAGCGAAATTCCCTATTTCTATTTGCCATCTTTGAATAGAAGGCCTGAAGAAATTGTTTCCAGAAACAGCATTGTAGACGTATTGGATATAGTTTTAAAGGTGCACATTCCATATTGGTACCATAATGGAGTTATTAGACCAGTGGGTTTTCAGTTTTCCAAGTCTACACACTTGTATATTTCTGTAGACTAAATTATTAGCAGTGGAAATGATGGGTTCAACTAAGTTTAAATATTAATAGACACTGGAAATTGCACTTTAAAAGATAAACTTGCCATTGAGGAAGTGGACTGACTTTGGGCCTCTGCTCAAGCCCTCCCTCAAAGCAAGAACACTTTGTTCTAAGAACCTGACATTCTATGATACCCCTGACACAATCGCTAAAGATAATGGGTGCATAAGCAAATGTGAAGAAAGCTGATGGTGCTCGGCTATCAAAAGATAGAGCATTTGGGGTCTTAAAGGCTTGAAGTTAATCAAATGGCCATCTAGCAGAGAAGCAGCAAGACCACATGGAAGAAGCACACCAGTCTGTGCATCATGAGGAATGGGATCAGGTAGAAGACTCAAAACAAAAGTCATTCTAGAGAATGAGGGGACAGGGTCAGAGCAGAGACCCAAAGCCTGTCTGTCACAGAAGGGTCACAAGGAAGAGATGAGTCAACCAGGCCACATTATAGCACCAATGAAACAGTATTCCTCTGGTTCTTTGAGGCTTCCTTACTCCCACTATCATGACCCCAGTCCTGCCTTTCAGTTCTGACCAAAGCATGTATACTGCTACATATAAGAGCTCCCTATATAAGGAGTCCAGGTCAAACAAACCCCTCAGGAATAGAAGAAATGGGAGTAGGGATACCAGGACGCTAGGGGGGAGGAGGGAAATTGATCACAATGATGGATGCATAATCCCCTGCCCCCTCCCAGGGGGATGAACAACAAAAATGGGTGTAGGGAGATAGTGGTCAGTGTAAGATATGAAAACAACTGGTAATTTATCAAGGGAGAGAGAGAAAAGGAGCTGATATCAAGAGCTCAAATGGAAATTAAATGTTTAGAAAATGATGATGGCAACATACGGACAAATATGCTTGATACAATTGATGATGGAATGTTATAAGAGCTGTAAGACTCCTTGTAGGGGGTGTGTGCAATGGCTAAACAGCAAGCCTCCTCGGCAGTGTATGCAGCCTATTGGTATGAATACGCTGCCTTAAGGGACCTTGGAGACAACCTTTTGCTGCTTTTTGATGCCTCTGGTCTGGCTAATTCTGCTCTCCCTAAACTAGGCTCCAAACTGAGATGTGAGGTGATTTGGGGAAAGTTCAAG